GAAGTTCTGACCTCAGTTCTGTGGTCTATTCAGTGTCCTATGTAAATAATAATGAGGCACTGCATTATGGGATTGCAGTGTGATGGACTGCTTTCATATGGCCTTTCTCGCCGCAGTCTTGTAACTCCCACCAAATAACTGGATGGGACTATGCAAACGCGGTGCTTGTGGTTCACCAAGGGGATTGGATAGCTTACAAATAATGCAAATAAGGTGCATGGCACCGTGTGGGGGACTGGATAGCTTGCTAATAATGCAAATAAGCTGTATGGAACCCTAATGAGGGGATTGGTCAGTTTTGCCATCCCACTAGGCTTGAAATGAGCCATTCCAGAGGTGGACGGGGAGACGTCAATACCACCAAGAAAGAAGAGTTAGAAGTGGAGTGTGTCCTTTGGACCCGGGATCCCTGTGCTGAGAACCTCCTAGACTCAGGAGACAGAGAGAGAGGAGCTGTAACATGAAAGACGGTGAGAGACAGTGGTGCAGTAGTTGCAAGAGCAATAGTGGCGCAAGATGGCAGGAACCAGGAGACTGGCTTGAGACGGCTGTGATGGGGCTTTCCAAGAGTGAGAGAGCACCTTTGGGCAGGAGGCTTGCTGGTGGAGTGGGGTACCTCCAGGTACTAGGGGGAGCTAGGCTTGCCGACCAATGGAGCAAGACAGCTGAGCGCCTTCAGGCAGAGGCTTACTGGCAGAGTGGGGTGCCCCCAGGCACTTATTGGCAGAACTAAAGAGCTTTGTAACACTTGCCTGAGCAGGGCAGAGGCTGGGCTGAAGGGCTGAGAGGCCCAGGGCCAGAGAAAGGCCTGCCTGTGAGCATAGCTGAGAAGAGGCTGTTCTGACTGAAGAACTGTATCTTGAGTTGTTCCTGATCCTGAATTGTAACCTGTTACTTCCCTAATGGAACCCTGTCGGTGCAGTGGTTAAGTGCTCAGCTGCTAACTGGAAAGGTCAGATGTTCAAATCCACCAGCCACTCTGCAGGAGAAAGATGTGGCAGTCTGCTTCCATAAAGTTTACAGCCTTGGAAACCCTATGTGGCAGCTCTACTCTGTCCTGTAGGGTCACAATGAGTTGAAATCAACTTGATAGCACACAACAACAACTTCCCTAAGAAACTCCATGCCTGTGAGTATAGTCTGTGAGCGCTGTGT